CCTGACTCACAAATCAAGTCATAAATACCCCCCCCCCCCTTCTTAAAAAAAGAAATCGAAGTTGTTAAACTAGAAGAAACTTTGTCAGCTAAAAAACACTGAAAATGATGCCGTCTTTTCCTTCATCTTCATGTTTTCTTCTCTTTTCAGGTGATATTGATCCTGACGTTGTTGTTCACCGGAATCTGACAGAAGCATCATGACCTCCATAGTTTTCATAGATTACTGAAGCTTCACCTTCATCATTTTCAACTGTGAAAAGAAAAGCTACAAACTTGATTTACTCAGATAAAGACACGATAATACATCCTCTATCCTTCAGCTCTTAGATTTAAAAACTGTAGTTTTACTCTATTTAAAGAACAGTTATCTCTGAAATATCTAAAAAAACAGCTTCTGATCATTTAGTTTTTTAACTCACAGCATTGTGATCCATCTGCGTTTTGTTCTCTGTAAAGACAAAAGAGTAAAATTTAGTTTTCACATTGTAAACCAAGTCAAACTAATAACATTTTAAAAGGTTTCTCACCTTTAGTTCTCAACTATGCTGATCGTCAAAAATGATTATGAGTACTGCCAGTCCCACAGACACAATGATGAACCTGATCCAACCTGAAAATGAGAATAAAACATTCAAATCATTTAAACTGCAGTGATTGTTCAATTCAAAGTCAGGATCGGCACTTTTAATGTTTTTACAAAGAGCTGAAGATAGTTCCAACATGGGCAGACATCACAACTTAAACCTTACACCAAGCTCCTAGTAGGTTTAAAGTCCTCTGGTTGTCATGGTGTATCGTTTTAAGGCACAGTATGTAATTCTGCCACCAGGGGTCTCAATCAAAACAATGACTAAAGATGAAGTTGAGGCTGGCAGAGAATCATGGGAGTCCTCTCTGCTTCCCATTGTAATTTAGATATTCAAATGTAAACTTTCTAATAAAATTCTACATATTATATGTTTAAAAAGTAACTTGGAGGTTACTGGGTGTTTCATTTGGAAGGACCACTCCATCACTGGATTAACGGCAGAGGCACAAACAACACAATGTTACACACACACACACACACACACACACACACACCACACAGACAGACCAACACACACACACACACACACACACACACACACACACACACAACACACACACACTATAAACAATTACAGTTTTTTCCAATTGCTAACACACTAAAATGAAATGCATAGAACAATTATTTAAACTGACACACAGAGAGCAAAACCTCTTCAAGTCTCCAAAAGTCTAAACACATTTTTTCTGCTTTACACACATTTTGCAATTCAAATGGCACTTTTTAAATGCACTGAACATGGTTCTCTGTATAAGACACAACAATCAGACATAAAGTCATATGTTTGCCATTTCAAAACACTGCCATTCAAAATAACACTACATGAGCTAATTGGCCAAAACTCAATGGTTAAATGTTATCTCTTCAATCAGGAAGTAAGCACTATGAAAAGACCACAAGTGAGCATCTTTTTTTTACAACAAATGGAAGAGGTTGCAGAGAGAGGAAGAGGAAGAGGTAGGGGTAGAGCTGGTAGAGGAAGAGTGAGAGGTAGGGGTAGAGCTGGTAGAGGAAGAGGAAGAGGTGGGGGTAGAGCTGGTAGAGGAAGAGGAAGAGGTAGGGATAGAGATGGTAGAGGAAGAGTGAGAGGGAGGGGTAGAGCTGGTAGAGGAAGAGTGAGAGGTAGGAGTAGAGCTGGTAGAGGAAGCGTGAGAGGTAGGGATAGAGATGGTAGAGGAAGAGTGAGAGGTAGGGGTAGAGCTGGTAGAGGAAGAGTGAGAGGTAGGGGTAGAGCTGGTAGAGGAAGAGTGAGAGGTAGGGGTAGAGCTGGTAGAGGAGTTCATGGCCAAAGAAGAAAACAACTTTCAAATGAAATCAGAGCAACTTTAGTTGATCATGTCATCAACCATGGGCTGACAATGTGAGAGGCTGGACAGAGTGCAGCCCAACTTGAGCTGTTTTACTGTCCTGGTATATGTAGCACTGACTTGTTTGGTGAAAAAATAAATGTTTCAACAGCATGTGTGTGTATCTGCAAATATTTCTGTGCATGTGAACAATCTGAAGAATTTTCTACAATTTGAACTATTTTAGTATTATGGCAAAGCATACTAAAGATGAGAGTGCTTTTCATTATGCCCAACAGTGTGTAGTTGGTTAGACAACAATCTGGTAATATAAATGAAGTGTGGGCCATTTGGTGCAAAAGTTTGATTTTGATAATGCTATATGTAGTTTTGGTTTTAGTGCTTCATTTTGCAGGATATGTGAGGTATTTTGCAGTTTGTGGTTTTGTGAATTGTGTTAAGTATTTTGATAAAACCAGCCTAATTTGCAAAATTGTGTTTTAGCAATTGGAAAAAAATGTAATTACACTTTATTTCTTTAATTTGTTTTGTATTATATTTGAGATGTTTATTCATATTTATGATTAATCCTCTTGTTAAAATATCTTTAGTAGTTATTATTTTTGTAGTATTTGTTCTTATAAGCCATGGAGATATTTTCACATTCATGCCAATAAAGCTGACTGAATTGAATTGAATTGAGAGCTTCACGGAACAAAGCAGTACAACGTGATATCATTTACACCAGCCTGAGTGTGACATCACAGGAAAATGGCCGCTGTGTGAATGTGGTCTGTACTCTACCTGGTTTCTTCAGAGTTTCGTCCTCCGTTATCTCGTTTCCTCCTGTTGATGTGCTTCCTGTTGTGTCTTTTGAATGTGATATAAATAAACAAAACAGAAGATATGATGATAAAACAGAGTTCAGCACTTTAACTAAATAATGAATCAAGTAAAACCAGACGTACCTGTTTTCTCACAGGAGGACTTAGAGAAGGCATTACACAGCAGTGTTTGTCCACTCTTATTGTCTGTTACTTTACAATACAGCAACTCATTAAAGTTTGACTTCTGAACAACATGAGGAGTTTTAAATGACACAATAGCTGTACAGGTTAACTGTTGGTGGTCTGATATATCTGTCTCATCACCCTTATAATACCACTGCACTGTGTGGGCACAGACTCCAAATCTGAACACAGAGCAGTAAAACCTGAAGGCATCGTCCGAGGTACCTGGTGAAGATATTGTGAGAGAGAGAACACAAGAGTAAGTTTAACTTCCACACTTTTTTATAGACTTATTCCAATGTTTCAGGATAATGTTTCAACAAGAGAATCTGAGATGAAAATATTCATATCAACACTTACTGTTAATAACATTCAGCAACACACAAAGCTTCTGAAACTTGTTCTCCTGATCTGATCTGTCTGCAGGTGTAACGACCGACATCGTCATGTGTGACACTTTTAATAACCAGAGAACAATCCTCTGTAACATTTAGCCTCTTAGCTTTAGCTTTAGCTTTCTCATTTTTACTTATATTCCCGAGTGTAACCAGCTCTACTGCTGTGCTCCCAATATAACGACTGAAAAGCCAAGAAGGACTGTCACATTTCTGCTGATCTTTAATCACATTTCTACATGGCAAAGTGACATCATGTCCAAGTCTGACTGTGAGGGAGGCGGTATCATCTCCAGTTACAGCTGAAGAAAATTAAAGAGAAATATAAAATCAATAAATAGTCATTTGTATTTGTTAATTGTTAATAGTTTTGTAAGAAGAAGCAAAAGAGAGAGTAAACTTAGGTATCTGACTGAAATCGATGTCATCCATTTAAATAGTTAAAAACATCTGCAGTGCATCTTATTGGTGGATGTGTTTTTTTAGTAAATTCTTACCTGTAAACAGAAGCATCAGTATCACAGATAAAGACATTTTAATCCTTCTGAAGTGACGGATCTCACTTCGTGCTCTCTCTCGTTCACACACCCTTTACTCTCAAACACTCTAAATAGAGAGTTACAGCTTCAACTTCTCTTTTTTTACTTCCTCTGAGCAACTTCAATCTTTTTTTTCGCTTCATCTTGTTATTCTCTCTTGAACTCTGGAAAACATCCCAACATGGATGTGATGCCTCCGGCTCATGGCGCTGTATGGTGACCAATGGGAGGGGTGATATCTTTAGCGGTTTGAGAAACGTTTGTTCCTCATTGCGACTCGTTTTTTTTTCTTTGTGAGAACTCATGAGAAAAGGTTTCAGAGTTGGTACAGTGTTGGTACATGAGCTATGTAACATTTAAAGGGCTGCATCCTTCTGAGGGCGCATTTGAAGACTGATAACATCACAGCGGGGCATCGAGGGCTGTTCCATTTGGAAGGCTCCTTCAAATCTATCAATCATTATTTGTATAGTGCCAAATCATATCAAGTTTTATCTCGAGGCGCTTTACAAAAAGCAGTTAAAATATTCTTCATTGTTAAGAAAAATGGGATGGGGGAGAGGGGATGAGATGCAGGAATGATTTCTTTGTGTTCCTCTCGTTCCTGTTGTTCTCACTTCCTCTCCGCTGAGGTGGAGGTCGGAGCAGGCCGTGCATGAATGAGGACGGCGGAGGTTGTGGGGATGAAACAATCCGATGGTGGAGGCTGGGTGTTATGATAATGTGTTAGGAGGATTCACTTCAGGGTCTTTAGCAGTAGGCGTGGTTGGTAGGAGGAGAAGCAGGGTCAGTACTGATGACACACCTGAGGGGGGGTGTGGTGGCTCTGTCTCTGTAATCTTCATTAGCAGCACCTGGAGAGGAGCCGGCAGAAATTGGTTTGGAGTCAAAGAGACGCCACGAGGAAGACGCGAGGACGTAGACACCTGAGAGACTGAACCTGAAGTAACGTTTGTTTTTGTTTCAACACTTCACGGGTTCTTTTTACACATGAACTAAACTGATATGAAGGAGAGGGCTGGTGGAGGAGATCGTACCCCAAGTGACTCCGTGGATCGGGCTGTCCGAGTGAGCTGGTCGCGGCACGTACGAGGATCTTAGAGGTGAGTCACCTACACGCACCCCTCAAACAGACAGGACAGATGCACACACACTCAGGTAAGGCAGGATACACCTTCACGTTTACGCAACACGTAAGGAGAGGCATTAAGTTACGGCTCACTGGCCTTAGCGTCAGGCGCTAGGATAGCATTTAGCGGTGGGTTTGTGTAGCGGCGTAACACTGGGTCAGGGACGTCGGGTGGTGGTAGTGCCAGATCACCTCGCTGAAGGTTGGGGGAGCTCCGTCTACTGGAAAGCCCGGCCTCTGGTGCCGGGACAAAACCTCCTGGGCTCAATGAACGCTGAGCCTCAGGATTGATTAATGTAATAGACTTCTCTATGGTTATCATCCAAAGTCCTCAATACACTTCACAACTTGTCAGTTTGTTCACACACTCCCGCTCCTGTGACCACATTACCCCTGGCCACCACAACCTCCACTGGCTCCCGTTTCCCCAACAAATCGAGTTCAAAGTCCTTCTCCTGACCTTCAAACAACCTGGGACATTGTTTTAATTTTTGTGTTTCCTCAGCTTGTTTTTGTCTGAATGTAAATCTGTAAAGTGTCTTTAAGTGTTTTAAAAAGCGCTACATAAATAAAATGTAGTATTATCAGCATTATTATTATTATTATCTCTGACTCTTGTTACAATTTGTACTGCGCCTTTGACTCCTCTTCAACACAGGAGATCAGAGCTTCTTGGGCTGCAGGAAAAATTGTGCTCATAACGGCATTTCAGGTCTATCCAGCAGGTGGTAGCAGAGAGTCTTGAGTCTTAACCTGACCAATCCCTCTCTTCGTCATGCATTGATGCTTTGAGCTGGTTAAAGCTCCTGTGAGGAGATTTAGTTGATGAATAGAATGAAAACGAAACCTTTTAATAAGATAAAGAAAAAAAATCTAACAAGACCTTAAATATAAAGATTGATTGTCTCTGTATAAAGTAATACACAGAAGAACAATGAAGTTCTAAATCTTTCAACATATCAGTCGCACAGAATCAGAAGTACTTGATTAATCCAGGAGGAGATTATCTTGTTACAGTTTCTCTTGCAGATCATTGGTAGTCTTGGTTTAAAATCTGGAGTCCACCCGGTCTGAGGCCGAGACAAGAGCGGGTAAAAATGCTTTAGATTCAGAGACGATAGCGAGACCTTCAAAAAGTGGTCTGATACGAGACGGGTCTTGAGACTAAGACCGATTTCAATCACTGCAACACTACTAACATATCCACAAAGTCTCCAAGGTGAATGAATACATGCAAATAATAATAATAATAATAATAATAATAATAATAATCTTTATTTATAGAGCACTTTTCAAAACAAGTTACAAAGTGCTTTACAAGGACAGCAAATATAAAAACAGGCAGGTCATAGAATAAAAACAGGAAAGATAAAATAAAAATCACTTTAAAAATATAAAATCAAAAACAATACAATTCTTTTAAAGGAATTCTAAAAAGTGAAAATAGTAACAATTTAAAATCAACAAAAAATCAGGAAAGGCTCGCCGGAAAAAGTGTGTCTTAAGAAGAAGGGACTT